GATAAGCAAAACGTAATAGAGAAGCAGAAATAACCTGGCTCAGCAAAGTAAGGTCTCAAGGGGCAATTCTCGGTTGTAATGATGACGTCATCAATCGCTACGTTGATCTTCTTATCAACAAAGCCTTGTCCCTCAAAGATAACCTACAGAAACGGGAAAAAAGATTTTACAGTTAGTTAACCTCGCTGTAAATCACTTAGAGATATTACATGATAAGGAATACAAGTGGGCCCATTGAATGGCAATAACAAGCATACATCAAAATATCTTTAAACCCAAAAGAACTGATGGCCAAGTCTTAAAACAAAACAAAGAAACATACAAACAAACTATCAATCACAACATCTACATTCACACCTTCCTTTACAAGTGAATATATGAAATATCACATATTTGAACTGCGAAGAAAGATATGAAGACGTGATTGATCATTGCAGTTATATACATAAGTTAAGTAGTTTTTAAATTAAAGCCTGAAAAGAAATTTATGCTTGAACGCGATTCAAACCCATGACCTCAGCGATACCGGTGCAATGCTCTACCAACTGAGCTATCAAGTCAACTGGGTTTTATTACTGACCAGTTCCCAGATGGCTTGATAGCTCAGTTGGTTGAGCACTGCGCCGGTATCGCTGAGGTCATGGGTTCGAATCCCGTTCAAGCTTGAATTTTGTTCAGGCTTCAATTCAACAGCTGCTTAGGTTGTGTAGATATCTGCGGTGATCAGTCATGTCTTCATAACCTTCCTTTACGTTAATGTATTTTCTTTTTCTCAGTGCTATTGCTATTGAATGCGAAAACATACAAATTTTTTCAACGTTAACTACCAATGAGTAACTGTTTGAACCTGAATTCCCTTGGCGCCTGACCAAGCCACTTGAGCTGCTGACCACTTCTCACCGTGGTTTCCGACCAACTGCCACACTAGCACCAGCTCTTCCCGATTTGGCTCTCGAAGGAAAATCTTCAAGGTGGACTTTGATTGAGTAGGCATGAGGTAATTAAACCGCAAACACAAACCTACGGATTGATGGAATGGTTTCCACGGTAACAACGGACCTTCCAACTTTGCTTTGAAGGAGTCACCAATATAGGCAAAGTGACCTGAAAGAAGAAAATATTTTTTTCCAAACATATGTTGTCTTAACATGGGCTCTATTCGATGGTTTTGGAAAAGAAACCCATTTTAAAAACTCCACTCGAAGCCGTCAAATGTAGTCTGTCGTTAACTTAGACTTAGGGGGGGATAGCCTATTTCCATTTCCCCTGGGTGGGGTGCCTGCCAATCTCTGTTTAACCCCCTCCCCCTTGCTCCCCCAGATTCTGGTCAGGATATCACAACTCATTTATTTTCCTGGGTAGAGCTCATTAGAACGACTTCACAAAACACCTGAAACGGAAACTGGCGATCCCGAGTCCACAGCGCTGACCATTAGGCCACCTCAACCACGAAGTATCAGAGTATAATTTCCACCTACCTGGAAATTTAACCAATGTTTTATTATTTGACAATTTCCAATTTTCTTCGTTGTCACCAAGACTGGTCCAACCGCAATACTCTGATTTGAAGTAGCACTCTTTTATCACCACAGCTGATAGAAAAAAGAAAAAAATAACGTTTGCGTCCCATCTCAAAGAAAATTGCAAAGCAAAAAAAATATATAAAATTCACCTCGAAGATGAAGATGCCCTAAAACTCTCTCGCTCACAGTTTGTTCTGAATTGTTGACAAATGAATAACTGACCTGCGACCAAAAGAACAATTAGTCCCAATTATTTTGAGCATTTTACGAGCATTGCGATTGGTTGACAAGTGTGAGAAAAATTGTCTTTTGTAATCATTAACTATGTAAGGAACTAATTTACAAAAGACAGGGGCGTAGCCAGGATTTTTCAAAGGGGGGATCAAACTGTGTCAAAGTGAGGGTACTCGCCAGATTGCCATGTTGTTTTCGCCACCTGAAAGAGAATTGGACCTAAAATTATCTGTTCTGTGACCACTGACCTTGACTGCAAAATTGTCAGGTTGTCTGTCCGTGTTAAAAGTAGCCGTGAATGATGTATTCACACAGGAGAAGTTAAGCGCTGAATTAATTGTCACATTTTGTCCAAGGGTTGAGACGTTCAGTTCCAGCGGGCAATCCGGACAATATACACCTTGACAGCAGAACCTGTAATAACCTGTTTTGCAAAGAACGGAAAACCTGTATTAAGCGGACACCCTTGGGACACTTACTTGTGTCCGCTTAATAAAGGATGTCCGCTCTAAACAAGTTCTAATATCTTGTGCAATAATAGTTAATCATCAACCCTTTTGTAACAGAGCGTAACACAGTGTAAGATCAAAGACTGCTCATAGCACAATGTCCAGTCAGTCAATGTATCAAACTGAAATAATCCACTTAGCTTCAAAACGACATTACTGAGCAATAGTCAAAGGAGTTTGAGCTGAACTCGTAAAAGCAAAAAGCCCTTGAAGCGTCTGCTTATTGCAGGTTTTATGCAACAAAATGGCTTAATATTAGTGTCTGCCTCCTCTTAAATGAGGTGTCCGCTGGAAGCAGGTTTATTTTACAGTAATTGTGGGAAGGAAATTTTGGGACTCGAGTTGGTGTCCACTTAATAGAGGATGCGTGCTTAATATGGGATCCGCTTAATACAGGTTTCACTGTAGAGTAAATTTGAAAGCTTCGTTAGTGACAGATATATACTTCTACGCAATAGATTCTTGTAACTTCGCTCAGATTCCACCAATGAGTGTTTTACATTTATTTTATTAATTTCTTACGCAATTGTCGGATAAGGCTGGTGAAACCAACCTGAGATGTGTAAGTTTGAACCAACAAAGGCAGATAACGACGTTTTGGGATGCTGTAGTGTCACTTCCAATTTACGCGTTCCTGTTGACGATTCAGAATTCAATTCAGTTTAGTCAGTTATGGCAAGAAAGAATATTTACGTCTGCGCTAAGAACCTCTGTTATGACACTTATTTCTTAAATTTTGATACAGCTACAAATCAACATGTATTTCATGTTGAATCGCAACAAAACATTGCCGCCCAAATCAAGCTGAAAGGTATCCTTTGCAACAGAAGGTTGAATAGCTGGAAAAGAAAACCGAATTTTTAGAGAAAGGTCATCTCCTCACGTAGAATGTCGCTTCATAGATAGTTCTGTTAATAGAAGCTTATTGAAAGCGTTGAACAAAACATTGTTTGCTACCTTAGCTACCTGAAGAATAGTGAGATAACAATTACCTAATAGAAATAACTTCTTTGAAGTTCTGTTGGTAAAGTACAAGAAAGTCAGCGCCGATTTCTGGCAATTCTCAAATACGCATGAGAAATGAACAAAACCTTAGACTCTCTATCTTTTATTGAAGATTTCCTCCAGCAGCGAAATTGTAATCGCTACTGTCAGTATCTCAGATCAAAGTAAGTAAGTAGGAAGAATGCCCAAAAGATTCATTTGATGTGTGACACAACATAAAATACAAGGTTGAAAAAGTTAATTGAAGTGTCAAACAGTTCGTGTAACATATACGTTTCAGGTTTGGCCCTTCTTCAGTATGTTGAAAACAAAGCACGTTACCTGGTTTAGTCCTGAACAGTCTCGTTCCAGGGATAGGTCGTTCATATTTTCCACTGGGTGTACGCATGCCCACAGATATGTGGTCGTTGCCCGTTTCTTCCCTCATAAAGGCCTCCATTTGATAAATGCGACATTTGTCGAGAAATACAGACTGTGATGTTTGCTCTGCGTACCTTTAAAGGCAAGACTGGATAAGTAAGCAAGGCAAAGGTTACAAGTCCAAGAACATGAATGTCCAGGGCTCAAAATAGTGTAGTCACGTCACCGGAAAAAAAAAGTAGATTTTCCTGCCGGGCAGGTAAATTTGTCATTAGCTCATTTGCCTAATGGGCAAGGACCCAGGCAAGTGGAAGGCCAAATAAATAAATAAATAAAAGTATAATAAGACTTGCACTGGGCAAGCAAAACTTGAATGCTGCCTGTCAGAAGGGCAAGTTGGAATTCGAGATTTTTTCGAGCCCTGTTTATCTCCCTGTTATGCTCACCTGTCCCATTCTTGATAAGATGAAAATCTTTTGACAGAAATGATTGGTTGTTTGGTCACAATTTCCTCAGCTTTCCTGTCTTCTTTTTCAATGCCATCTTCAATAACATCGTACTTCCATAACTCACAGAATTCATCGCATGACAGGTAAAACGTGTAATTTCCACTTACAGGAACCTGCAAAATGATTTGTACTTCACTAATTTTTAAATAATTAGTCCTGGGTGTACTGGTATAATATGTAGAGTCACGGGACCCGTCACGAAATCAGATTAACGTGATTTGTTGTCATTTTATACCAACGCGACTCCTCATAAAATTGATAGTCACGCGAATTGTCTCGCAACTTGGGACAAAATTTCAATTGACGGGACTCATCATGAAATTTAAAATCACGCGACTTGCTAGCCATGAAATTACAATTTGAGATCAGGTTTCTAGCAACGGAAATGAAAGGAGAGGATTTCGTCTCCTCTCCTAACGACACTGCTAACCATTCCCTTTGGAGACAAACATACCTTTATAGCCTATATAAGGAAGTACCTCTAGGGAAAATGATGTTTTACCTGTAAGTAGCTTGTCAGTCGCTGAACGTACTTTGTTCCCACATTGACTGGTGCATCGAAATCCCGCAGAACGATCTGGCTCTGACTTTCGCCTTTAAACACAGGATTCTCCCGCATAGTTGGTGATATTTTGGAGTCGTAATCTACGTTATACCACCCTTCACGTAAAACACCGTGCGCCTCTTCAGAAAATTCTACAGTGAAAACGATGTTAAGTGTGAGACAACTCCGGAGTAAACATCACTTGTATAAATCTCAGTTGTAACAAAAATGTAGTAATCATTTAGACGAAGAATTGAAAGAATCCTGACCAGTCACATACAAGAGTAGAAACAACTTGCTCATGTAATTTAATGTAGTTACTCCTTTACTTTTCCTTTAGAGAGAGGGCAAGAACTACAGACTAGAGTCATGCAAGCCAAACGATGTCAAGTTTACCGTGACTTACCAATTGCTCGAACAACAACTTGGCAGAGAACTAGCGTGACATTATTTCCAGTTAACGTGACTATCACGAAACGTCCGCGCGCTGGTGGAGAGCAGTGTACTTTGTGGGTTAATAATATTCCATACTGCACCGATTGTGTACAAGTTGGGTCAGAACCGGTTTTACTGCTAGATACAGTAACGTTGATCATTCCTTTGTCACGTGAACAGCAGTCGATTTTATCAGTGATTTCAACGGATTCAACATACAGTGATTTTTCAAACGTTACTTCCCACCAAGGATTGAACTCCTAAATGACAAAGGAAAACAATCACGCGCAAGGATTAAGAAAGATCAAACAAATCAACTGACAGGCAAACAGACAGACAGGCAGGCAGAAAGCATTTCAACTAAACCACGTATTTTTGATTCAAAGATCAGTTACTTCATCGCGAAGTCAAAATCTTAATTCTGTTTGCTCTATGCTTGAAACTTATTTAATAGACTATTTTACAGTTGTCTGCTCAGTGATCTGGCCTTTGAATGGCCATGAGGCTGCAGGTGACCTTGGTTTGATTAAGACCTCACCGCTTTCGTTGTGTAAATCAAGTTGTTCTTATGCTAACTAGATGGTATTTAAATGAGAAAAGTGGAGAGGTCTGTATCAAAGCAAGGTCACCTCCAGCCTCACTTGCGTTCATAGGCCAGGTAACTAAGCACACAACTGCAAAATGGCATATTTCAGTATATGGCCCACTTCACTTGGAAGACCAGAGGCGACCAACACTTCTCACGATGTATCGTAAATAGAAGAATAATCATTAAACTGGCAACTGTTTTGTTATTAAGTTTGATTAATTCCTCACCTTTTGTGAACGAAAACAAGTGGTGTAGGATCTATCAATGGCCAGAGAGGGGTAATGAGGTAACAGAACACTTGAACTTTGCGTCAAAATATGGTGTGACAGTGAATTTACTAGCAAAAAAATAAACAAGACGGAAAAGGAAATGGCAATCAATACTTATAATCCTCCGCCCCCCACTAATCTACAAGCGAAGTGAACCAGGCTAGAAAGCAACGCATAATATGCAGTCAGGTAAACTACAGACACTAAAAGTTGTAACCTCCGTGGTAGTTAAGAGAGTTATTGCTGAAATTTCTTCCGCCGAGAGTTACCTTGAGGTGTTTCGGGCCCGGGTTTCGGGCTTCTGCGGCCTTGGGTCTCGAGTTCTTTGTAAGTTATAAGAAAAAGGTTGAAAAGGTATAAAAGTGATCAATATTTAGAAGACTGCTACTAGGAAAAGAGCATTAATTCGCTATATTTTATGTCGCTCTGACATTTAATGATATGTCAAAACTTCGCTGAGAGATTAGAGCTGAACTTCAAACAAAAACAAGTTAACCACAGCTGTGATCACACAAACCTTGACAAATAAGGCAGTCAGAGTTAACAACTCAAATGACTTAAACCAAAGCCAAATCACAGCTTGCTTTAGAATCAGACTTTATAACTTAAATAAGGTAGTATCTGCATTCCGATTGCTAACGTACCTAAAAGACCTTTCATAAATGGGTGGCCTTGCTAAGCAAAGACCAAAGCAACAATTAATTGACTTTGAATTCAACTACCTAAATGAACACTCTCTAACTTACCGAGCTTTTTCTGGCACAGTGGGTACATCGTTAGCCGACAGTCAACGTTTTTTATCCCCGACGAACCAGCCGATAGCACAGCACAACTCTGGATTCCATGGTAAGCAGAAGGGTATCCCGACAGCCACAGAGAGTTATTAAATGGACTGCCATCTATCCATACCCAGTTGTCCTGTGCCAGGAGGCCAAAGTGCAAATGCTCCGGCTTAGGTCTCATTTCTTCTAGCAGGTTGGTAAATGCATACCTCAAACCTTCCCGAGATATCTTGGCTAAGGTCCCTCCTTCACTACTGCACTGCCCCAGTGCATCTTTCCACGTCAGTATATTCTTGGTATTAATCGAGAAGCAACCGCCGTGGAATGCAAAATAGCCGTGACTGCACGTTAAGGGTGCTGGAGAAACAAACAAAATGATGTTTTACGAAGAGGTACATACTTGTTTTACCATACGCAGTGATCAACTTCTAAAATTTCACTGTCCATGCGATGCAAAATCATCAAATTGATATTCAGACGAACTGATCTTTTTGTGCCAATGTGTCCTAGTTGAGGACTACTGAAAGCAACATTAGTGGCAGTTATTCTGCAGGCTTGCTTTGGAGAGTTGACGTGCTGTTTGCTTGCAGTAGGTTTTAGAAATAGTACTATGAAGACATTTTGGAACACTACAGGATTTATGAAGGGATAAATTGACATACAGGTGGAGGTTTGTGATGGAGATCTCTTAGTTACAGAAAGAGGCGTAAAATGTACCAAGAACGCAAAAAACAAGCCATGAACAGTCGATGCTGGCAGTTGACCTGCACAGCTTTACAAGCTCTATTTCTACTCTTAGCTCTCTCGTTAATGTCGATTAATGTGTAGCTCGTTCGTTCTTACTTAATACAGCAAACTTACCAGTTTGATTGCACCTTGTTTTAACCTTGATAATTTGATCCACCGACAATGCTTGATCATAAACTTGTAAGCAGGAGATCCTCCCACGAAAGTACACCTTCTGTTTCTTCATCGCACCGATTCTAACACTGGAATACGTTGCTAGCTCCATTTTTACTTTGATATACTTCAGCACGACAGTGTTGTTATTGACGAAAATAGACGCGACACCTGTATGGTAGTCGTACGCGGTTCCAATAAAGTTCCAGGAATGTGCTTGTAAAACGTTTTTCTTAAATAGCAGATAACTAGACAGCGACTTCCTGTCGACGTATCTCACTTTGACACCCAAGCTTGAATGAGAAACCTGCAACGATAAGCCATAATACTTGTTTGGCAGTTCATGCGTGTAGATTGGGCCACTGGAGTTGTCAAGATGAACCCATGCGAAAACACCAATCGAGAACCTTGTGTCCAGTTGTCCGCTTTTTCTAAGTTTTACATGGCTCCTATTAATACCGCTAAAGTAGAAGGAACCATTTGGATTTCCATGAGGACCTGGTGCAAATTTGATGTTATTAGGAACAGCTTTGATGGCTCCATTTGGACTCCTGTCCACAGTTCCATTGGTGCCACTCAGTGAAAAGAGAGCTACAGGCAGAGGAACATCTGGGAATATAAACAACAACACATTTTTAGCTTCTAAAATGCTTCTGAACAAAATCGTATTGCTTTTAATTTTGAATTTGGTTAACAAATAAAGAAGCCTCGACTGTGCTCTGTTCTGTTGTAAAGCACGCAGGAAGCGGTAGAGCACGAAAGAAGTGTACCGGAAAACACGAGACATAGTGGAGTGTTTTTCCCCACTTCTTGAGTGTTCTACCGCTTCCTAAGTGCTTTACAACAAAACAGAGCAGAGTCGAGGCTTCTTTATTTGTGTTATGATAAAAAATCCAATAATTTCCCCACGCATTCGGCTGAATTTTCAAATCAAACTTTATTTTCCAAACGAGTAAAAGTTTCGTCAGCCGTGTTCTGTTCTCTGATAAAGCACGCTAAAATAAGCCAATCACAATCTTTGTTAGAATTGTTCAAATAATTCGATTGGCTAACGAAGCGACAGCTGTCAATCACAAACTGGACTTCAACTAAGCTTTAAGAACGATATGATGCCTTCAAAGTTCGCTTCGCTAAACGCATGTAAAGGTTTGTAGTCCAGAGGAATCTGGCCGTATTGCTCATGAAAACGTGCACTTTTCCAATGAAAATTTCGAAACCAGGAGGACAAAGCTTGCGGACGAAAATGCGAAATGCTGAGTTGTATTTGAAAGGAGCTACATGCAGTTATTTACGGCTTGCAGCCGCTTGCAGCAAGATTGCCCGAACTAGCGTAAAA